TTGGGCCTTTTCTTTCCTTTTTCTGATAAGGTTGGCTAAGGGTTTGTCAATTTTGTTTATTCTTTCAAAGAACCAACTCTTGGCTTCATTGATTTTTAGTATCGGTCTCTTAGTCTCCCTTGCATTGATTTCTGCTCTGGTCTGTATAATTTCCTCCCTTGTATGGGCTTTGGGTTTGTCCTGCTCTTCTTCTAGAAGCTTGAGGTTTGGCATCACGATGTTTAATTGGGCTCACTCTGTTTTCCTAATGAGTATTCACTGCTATGAATTTCCCTCGGAAGAGTGCTTCCATTATATCCCATAGATTCCAGTATGTTGTATTGGTATTATCATTTAATTGTAGTGTCCGATTTCTTAATTTCCTGTGCCCCACTGGTTATTGAGAAGTGTTGTTCAATTTCCATGTTTATGAAATTCTTGTGGTTTCTTTTGCTATTGATCTCCAATTTCATAACAGTATGATCTGATAATATACAGGGGATAATTTCAATTCCTTTGCACTTAAACATGTTCTGTGAGTATTTCATCGATTTTGGAGAACAACCTGTGTGCATCTCAAAAGAATGTTTATTCTGATTTTTGGGGGTGGAACAATCTGTAAATGTCTGTTAACTTCATTTAAGACTTTGATTGAGTTCTAGTATTTCGTTGCTTATTTTTTGTCTAGTTGATCTATTTGTGACAGTGGGGTACTGAGGTCCCCCACTACTATTGTATTAGTGCTTATATTTTTTATGTCTGTTAGTATGTTTTATATAGTTGGGCACACTAGTGTTTGTGCATATTTATGATTGTCATCTCTTCCTCTTGGATTGTTCCCTTTACAAGGATGCAGTGTCCTTCTTTGTCTCTCTTAATCAGTGTTGGTTTGAAATCCACTTGATCTGCAAAGAGGATAGCTACTCCTGCTTTTTGGGTTCCTGTCGCATGGTGTATTGTTTTCCACCCTTTAACTTTCAGTCTACGAGATTCCTTTTGAATGAAGTGTGTTTCTTGTATGCAGCATATTGTTGGATCTTGCTTCTTGACCCATTCTGCCAGTCTATTTCATTTGATTGGTGAATTGAGACCATTAACATTGATGGTTATAACTGATATGTATGGACTTATCATTGTCATAACCTTTTCTTTTTGTTGGATTCTACCCCTTTGCTTTAATTTCTTGTCATCCCTGATGGATTCATTTTGCTGGGCTTCCTGGGGTTGTGATCCTTGTTTTCTTTTTCTAGGATACTATCTAAAATATTTTGGAGTGCTGGTTTGGTATTCATGAAGTTCCTAAGGTGTTCTTTGTCATGAAAGTACCATATTTCTCCATCAATTTTGAAAGACGGTTTTGCAGGGTACAGCAATCTGAGTTGGAGGTTGTTTTCTTTTAGGGCTTGAAATATGTCACTCCAAGCTCTTCTTGTCTTGAGGGTTTACCTTGAGAAGTCTGCTGTGATTCTGATGGGCTTTCCTTTGTATGTGATTTTTCTTTTCTCTCACTGCTTGTAGAATTTTGTTCTGTTGGATTTCTGGAATCTTATCTATTATATGCTTATGTATAGATTTTTTTTTTATCAAGGCTAGTTGGAGTCCTATATGCCTCACTTATCTGTATGTCAAGTTCTTTTCTCCTGCTTGGGGTTTCTGCCAGCACTTCTATGAACAGTTTTATGTCATCTGCATTCTGTTTCTTCACTGACTCTGATCAGTCTGATGTCATTCTTTGCATTATCTAGCAGCTGCTGGATTGATTTCTTGTGGTCCCTTACTATTTTAAAGAAATTTTTATTTTCCTGGTCACTAATTGCATTCTTCTGTATCTGAAATTCTGTCCTCTCATTACTTTATTCTGCTGCATAAACTTTCAGTGGAGCTTTTAATCTCCTGGAAATCTGTTTGCATCTTTTGTATGGGTTCCATTTGTTTCCTACATTGAGATTCCATCATGTTCTTCAGCTCTATTTTTATTTAATCTGTGTCCTCTCTGGATTTATTAATCATGTCCTGCACTATGGGAATTAGGTCTTTTAAACAAGATTTTATTTTTGTGGGTCACTTGGACAGAACTCAAGTAAAAAGTATATTAAAACAGCACTCCTGACTTCATTTGCTTTTCAGTCTGATAACCCCGGGGAGTTTGGTTTTGCTCTATTTTCTTGTGTAGTAAATGAAGAAAGTATCTTTAAGACACGCATATAAATTTAATTATTTCTGAATGTTTACCAGGAGTTTTCAGGTTGGGTTTTTATTTTGCTAATATAGTTGAGCAATTTATGTGAAGTTAGTTCAAAAATTTTGTGAATACATTTTAACTTCTGTATATTAGGAACTATGGAAAAGTGAGTATCAACTTCCCTGCCCACAAAAATGCCTTTAGGATGTCGGCATATACTTCATTGTATGACTTTTGTTAATCTATCTTGTCCTAATTTATTACTTTCTGTTACAATTACTTTGCCTCTTGGTTTTTAAATCTGTACTCCTAGTTTGATAGATTTTCTCTGATAGTTCTTATGTGGTAAGGGAAGTATATTAGGGCTCTCAGCTTTTAAGCTTTCAAATGAGACACCTCTACTAAGTAACAGTGATCTGACGACTTATAATAAGGCTTAATTTTTTGTGGGGAAAGAAAGGATATGTGTGCAAAAAAATTGCTTGTTACTGTTGAAGTGCTATTTTCACACACAAAAATCATATACCACTGTATTTCTAAAACTATTTAAAAGCCAGATAAACCCTTTAGAGTATACTTTTAAAAACACGTGGTAAGGAACATGTTGCACTTTAATTCTTAATAGCATGGGCTTTGTGTCAGTCAACTTAGCTGAATTCCAGGGCCAGTCATTCTAAACCTGTGTGATTCTGAACACTGGCACTATTGTGTTGTGTTAGTTTTATAATTTGTACATAAGCCACAGAGGGCTTCTAACACTTAAATGGAATATATATTACAAAAAGAGGGACTCTGGCTTTTGTAAACTTCCTGTGATACAATATGCAGTCAAATACTCTAGAATTAAGTGCATAGTATTTACTGAGTGCATTTTAAATTTCATTTTAAACATATAGTTGTGTTAGTTGTTAGAACCATTAATTTTAAAGGTGATGCTTTGACTGACATTTCCATATTCCTCCTAGGGGCTTACTTTTTTTTTTTTTGGTACCTGCGATCTAACTCAGGTCCTTGCACTAGCGCAGCAGGCATCAAAACCACTGAGCTAAATCCCCGGCCCAGGACTTACTTTTTGATACAAACATTCAGCAGACACTGCCAAACACTTCCTATTGTTTGTGGGAGTGGTTTTCCAGGAATTTCTGAAAGTATCCTGTAAGGCAAATTTTGATCTGTTTAGACTAGAGCAGGCTCAAGAATCCACATTTTAAAGAATCCCACAAGGAATTCATTCTGATACAGAATCATCACATTTTGAGAAGTACAGAAATATTCAACCCCTTTGCCTTTTTCTACCATGTGACCCATTTTGTGACTAAGCTGATCTGTCTTCTGAATTACAAGATATGGTCAGGGTCTGGGAAAATTTACATGTCCTCAGGAAAACAAAACTAAGGCACCCACAGTAAACCAAAAGATTACTTATTTATACTTCAATTCTTACCACTGTTTCTTCACTGCTTATATTAGGATTTTTAAAAAATAACTGGCTGCTTGGTTGAAATGAACTCTTCAAATGAACCACATAAATACAAATATTTTTAAAAATAGTTTAATCTCTAAAATAATCACATTTTCTAATTCTGAACTACTTACAGCACAATCTATGTCAATGACAGGAATTATAAGCCATGTAACTGCTTGTGATTCAAAGGTAAGATACAGCCAAGATACTACATGTGCAACACTTTCTCATAAATTAAGAAATGTTTATAAATATAAAATAATGCAATAACATATCTTCTTAAAGGAAAATAGCTTTTAGTTCTTTAGTGAATTATGTCAGAAATGCCAGATCTAAAATCATGCTATGTTCATAACCAGCTTAGTGAGGATGTTGCCCACTGTCTAACATCTGTAGGACAGTTGGGGTATTTCTGCAGAGAATTCATAATTTGAGTATTATCCAAAAGTAGTTTCATCAGCTGGTACTCTCTCTGCGAATTTACTGAAGTTCTTTCCACGGGCTTTATTAATTCTAACTGCTGTAGGTGTTCAAAAGCCTGAAAGATTAAAAAATAAATAGTTTAGAGTGAATTGAACAAATTAAAAGTTTTGGTCAGTTGTGGAAAAGACTGACAATAAAACAAAAGGAATCAAAATCAATAGTGTTAAAAAAAGTCAACCACATAAAAATATTATTTATCAAGTAAGAAAATATAAATTCATGATCTTTATTCCTATACTGTTGAATGTAAGAGAAATTTTAATACAGTATTCACAATATAGTTTTGTTTCTAACATAATATTATAGCTCCTTCTGTACTGTGGGGAGTAGAGGGGAGTCTGGAGAATGATTCCAGGACCCCACACCTACTCTAACACTGAGCTAACTCCCCAGCCCTTCCTTCTATAGTTAACAACAGGCTTCCAGTTTTCTTCTCTAAAAACCTAAGAATCTCGTAAGCCTTTCTCACTATCTTGGCTATTCAAATTTGTATGTATATTTGTTTTTACCTCTGTAAGATGGCTGAGTAAAAGTTTAACACAGCTGTAACAAAGTGGGAGGAAGGAAAGCCCCTGAGTACACCAGGCCTATTCAGCAGAGCTTGTAAGTAAATGATTCTACAGGGCGGTACAGGCTTCTACTTCAAAGAGATTGACTGAGACTGTCAACCTGTCAACAAGCTCCCTTCTATATTCATCTTCCTTAACTAAACAGAAGTCTTCCCTGGCTGCTTTCTCTTACCCCCGGAAGTCATATGTTATTATCTTTTCCAACTTTTGACTGCTTAAGTTATGCTATTAAAGGTATGAAAAAAAAACATTAAATTTTGTTTGTACTAACCACTAAATAGTGATACACTGAAACAGATTCCTGAGCAGTCTACTCTTAGTGCTCATTGTGAAAAACATCATAGAGATATATTATCTATGTACTGTAAAAATTCTTAAAAGAAAAAAAGAAAAAATTTTTAAAAATGAGAAAATATTGGAGGCTGCAGGTAAAATATTGGGAAATACTGGAGGCTGCAGGAAAATAATTGGGACTGGACAAAATTGAGATTTAAAGTATTTCCAGACTGTGAAATATTTCCTTATTTAAAAACAGAAAAAACTAGCTGCAAATTAGAAGAATTTAAATGCCTAGGTAATCTTTCCACTTTCAGGACTCCCATAAAACATGACTATCAGACAGATATGGAATTGGGAGGGGGTAGCCAATCTCCAGTAGGCCAAATACTTTTACTATTTCTTTGAATAAATGGCAATGCTTTGTACTCACTTTTAAAAATTGCTGCAAGAAATAAAATTGACTACTAGGGATACCAAAGGATTTAGGGGTCCACTGCTTAAATAAGTAACATATTCATTCCCTTAAACTACTTTAGGGGTTCCCTGTTTACACTGGGCAATCAAGCACTTGAAATGTGTGACTCAACTTTTAGTTTTATTTTAACATAAAAATATAACATTTGGTCCAGCTAAAAAATGGTATGTCAATTAAAAAATGTAAATCTTTTTCAGCTACAAATTTAAGGAATGAAAACAAGTATTTCCAATAAATACTTAATAAAGGGATGTGCTATATTTATTATAAATGCACACCAAATTTTAAAGATGTAACATAAGAGAACACAGAAAAGTATGTCATAATTTCTTTTTGAATATAAAACTATTTATTGACCACTGCTCACCATTATTTACAACAAAGTAAACAATATACAGTAGGATACCATTTTGACTACTACAAAGTTATTTTTCTGGCTTCTGCTGAAACAGTAACCCAGATACTGAAGATTGAGCCTACATATAAGGAACAAGTTGGGGTCAAGAAAAACATACAGGTCAATAATTTAGATTATAAGTTTGTTTACTCATTCATTCTAGCAGGTCCTAAATTGTGACCACCTCTAGCCACTCAGTAGGTTTCCATGAGCCAAGTCTTAGACATCCACGAATCCTGACTTTGTGTACAGATTTCAACTTGTTGTAAGGGAATGGGTCATGAGTAACCTTTAATGTTCCCTTAACAAGTCTTCCTTAGCTAATTCAAACAAACCAGGTTGACTAGTTACTTTATTTGGGTGAGGAAGTTGTTGGTAGTGATACAATTTTTCAGGAATTTTCCAAGCAAACTGCTATATTTTTGTAACTAAACACATACATAATGGACTCTGGTATGGCTGCTTTGAAAATACCCACTTTAAGCTGACCAATTAACCACAGAATCATCTATTTAACTTGAAAAAGTTAGGACTTCAGGAAAACTTTCAATTTAACTGTGATTTATTTCTTAGGTTGCTCAGAATGATATCATCTCAAACATAAGCTTATCACCCAGTTTTTGTTTGGGTAAATGTTTAACAACCAAACAAAAACCATTTACATGAGTATTGTATTTATATACAAACAAACAAAAAACTCAGAATGGTCCTTAAACATGTGAACTAAAAATGAGTTCTGTTTTTGAGTTTATGGATAATTTTCCCAATATTTAGAAAAGCAAAGGAAATATATCGGGCCATTAAATGCTCTTTTCTGATAAAGGAACTACAGAAAGCCTTTTATTTGTTCAAAGTAACCAGTGCTATTGATGCAAAACAAAACCCAACAACTTCCCCAAATACTTTCAAAACCAACATATTAAACTTGATTTTCATTAGAATGCTGTTTTTTTCACACTAGTGAATCAAACACCAAGACCCATTTTATATATATATAAATATATATAAAAATGATGTAAGTTACTGAGCTTCATCTTCTGGACAAGAATGCCAAGTTAGTCTCTCTTCTTAAAAAAACAATTACAATCTGAGGATATTCCATATTTGCCTCTTTTGCCAGCACCAAGTCAGCCTCATATGAATCTTTCCATTTCATGAGAAACATCAATTCTCCACTACTGTCTGTGGCACCAATTATTTGTTTAGGATCAAGACCTCCAGCAAATCCTCTAGGTTTGTCAGCAGCATCTCTTTTTCTTCTTCGATTTGCTATCATCAGATTCACTGTCAGATAAAGATTTTCTTTTTGTACTGTCTTTTTCTTTACCAGCTTTTTGAGAATTAAGAAATGCTTCGATTAAATTCTGGACAATCTAAATTTTCTTCAGGTTCCCATGTATTGTCAGCATCTGTAAATCCCTTCCACTTCAGAAAATACTCCACCTTCCCATTCACTACACGATGGTCCAGTACTTTTTCTACCACAAATTCTTCAGGCTCTGCTTCCTCAACTTTTTTACTTGTTCCATTTTGTTTCTTTCCCATTTTTTTGCAATGTAATATTGGAGGCCATTTTTTACTGCAGACTTGCAGAGCTATTAGGTCCGCAGCGCCGGATGGTCCCGGGGGGGGGGGGTGCGGGGCGAGGACTGTGACCCCAGCCCTCTCGGCAGAGGTTTTTCAGTCTCCGCAGCTGCGGGCGCCAAAGCCAGACTCCTCCCCCTCCATCGCCTCTCATCCTGGGTGCCCTCCATAATTTCTGATTTATTGATTTTTAAAACATTTTTTGATAAACATTAAAGTTACTTCTTTTAAAATTCCACATAGCTGCTAGAGAATCTAAAACTACATAATGTAGTTGTTCACATTATCTTTCTGGTACTCTGAAAATCCTCAAGTTTCAAACTCATGACTTATCTACCTGCAAAATAAAACTTTTCTCTTTATGTCCTCACTAGCCAATGAGATTCTTCCTATTAATCTTTTCTTATATTATTAATTTTATTGGTACATTTTAGGTACCAATATAATTGCATTCATCATTGGGAATTTGCATCTTTACATACTTTCTCTTGGATCTTGTTTTTTGCCCCATTCCCCTGCCCTCTCTTCGACCACTCCTCTCCTATTTACAAAGACTTTGTTTCCATTTTTTCATATTCCATTCTCCTTCCACTTTTTCCCCCTACCCCTCCCACTTTCCCTTTCCCTTTGCTTATTACTACCTTTTATCTACATTTTTTCTCCATTTACTGCTGAGATTATAAACCAAATTTATGGGTTGGAAAGACGGTTATTGAAGGACCCTTGTTAGCAAGACAGACTCCCTATTGCTGCTTGACCCACCTGTCTGCCCTTTAGATGACCTCAGAAGGAGGAAACTTAGAAACCTCCTCCCCTTAAGAGAGTATCTTAGAAACAACAATTAATCAACTATTGTTTTACAAATGTTCTAACAGTAGGACGTTCCGCTTCTGTACATTTTGCTTGCTTTACTAGTTCTATCCCATAGGGGGGCCTAGAAACTGTTGGCCTCAAAGGTGTATAAAACATGTTTGTCA